AGACATGGTGTCAAGCCCAATGCTTGTCTCTTTTAGTGTTCTAGTGTCTCATAACACCTAGTATAGAGTAAGCATTCACAAGTTCATGTTTGGAGGCTGGAGAGATGGCTCAGTGGTTAAGAGCACTGGCTGTTCTTCCAGAGGTCCTGAGTTCAATTTTCAGTACCCACATGGTGGTTCACAACCATCTATAAAGGGAACTGATGCCCTCTTCTGGCACGAAGATGGACATGCTGCAGAACACTCAGACATAAAATAAACTAAACAAAACTTCGAGTTTAAGCACTAAATAAGTATTTTTCCCTAAGCGTCTAGGTGTCTGCTGTAAAAATGATTTCATCTTAACTCAAGAAAATGTGAAGGACATTGCCCAAACAGTGAAGCAGAGAGAAAATTCCAAAGACTGGAAGATAAACTCTGCAAGCAGCTAGTTGGTCATTAGGGAAAGCTATCTAGACCTGTCCTTCTGTGCAGACAAGGCCCAGTGAACAGTGGTCCATTGTAAAACTTAATATGATGGAAATTTTAAATTTATCTTTTATCTTTTTGTGTGAGGTTCTCCTCAGTTAAGTACTAACTACCCTGCTATCAATCTGCAGCTTATTCAGATTTTTCCTTACCCCACAGAAACTGGGCACCATTGAACACTTCATGGATTAATACAGGCTAACAACAAACATAAGCTCCTTCTCCAGAGATGGTTTCTTCGAGGAGATGGAATCAGCTTAGGTACCCATCTGTGATGACAAAATAAATGGAAACATAGTGCGTACACAATAAAAGACTCTTCATCCATTAGAAATATTGAAATCCACGGGACCTGGAGAGATGGCTTAGCAGTAAAGAGCAGCAAAGCTGCTCTTCCAAAGGACCTGGGTTCAATTCCCAGCACCCACGTGATGGCTCACAAACATCTGTAACTCCAATCCCAGAAAGTCTTTTGGCCTCTGTAAGCACAACATGTACATGGTGCATAAGCAACACATGCAGGTAAAACATCCACACACATAAAAATACATAATAAAAAAGTTACAAAGTATTAAGAATCTTACAAGGGTGGTAATGCAGAAGGAACCAGGACAGATAAGCTCGGTACGGAAAGCCAAACATTAGGTGATCTCACTCAACTATGGATGGATGATCAGTCAGCTAATAAGAGAGCGTGGAACTGGGGTAATGAGAGACAGGAGAGGGCAGAGAGGTTGGGATGAGGTAAAACATACAGAGAGCCAAGAAAAGCCCCAGTGTGCTTTACACTAGAGGGTGACCACTGTTAGTAATAACATGTTATAGACTTCAAAATAGGATTTTTGAATGTTCCCCAAACAAAGAAATGAGAAATTCTTGGGAGGGACTATGCTGACGATATAGCTCATAAATGTGTATAATTATTATGAGCCCATTAAGGATAATTAAAAATCCTTAAATATCTGCTTCTGTGTAATTGCTCAGGAACCACGTCGGCATGTACACACACCGGATACGATGATGCTCTAAACAACAGGTAAGTTTTAGGATCCAAATGCCAGCTGTCAATCTCTGTTCTCTGGTTGCTTCTCCTCTCCTGAATACCTGCTGGGTCCTCCAGACCTCTCTACCTGTTTCACTGGGACTTACTGTGCACTCTTGATTGGGGCCATCACATGACTTCTCTAGCCCACACCATTCCAGTAGCTACTATCAGAACTTGGCACAGGGGACAGATTGTGGTCGTGGTGGCAGCTGTGACATTCCAGAGCCTGTGACTTGGGGTGACAATGAGTCCTATTTTAGTTAGACACGGGTTCAGGAATGGCTGGCAAATGGAGGCATGCTGAAGCTATAACACTCAGTGAGTGTAAAATGCGTCTTAGGAAAAAGCATGAATAGCAATGGTTTAGAAAAGGAATCATATCAGTTACCCAATTATTTTTTTTAAAAAATAAAGTTTCCATTTAGGGTGTTTAATTTGGGGAGTTTAAAATATAAGCAGGTTGACCTCAAGCTTAGGCGGGTTTAGAACACTCCTGTGAAGAAGTATGTCCAAGAGGTAATTTAGGGCAGCTTGCTTCTACAGGTTAATGCAGAAAAAGCCTCAATACAGATTTCAGGACTAGACTTTGCTAGAAACTGCCATGGTAGAAAGAAAGGAAAACAAAACCAAGCCCTGCTCAATGGTTCAGGGTTTACTTTGGGGGGGTGAGACAATGGAGTCTATTCTGGAAATAGGTAGACGCATGGTTATATACCATTGTGGACATATTTACTCTGAGTCATCTTTCCAGCCCCTGAAACTAACCATTTTAAAATATAATCCAAAACAAAAAGTATAACTCAAAGTTTATACTTTCAGGGAAAGTATACTTTACCAAAACCACAGAAATCATCCCTGCAGGCCAGCAAGACGGTTCTACAAGTAAAGGTGTTTGCCACCAAGACTGAGAACCAAAGTTCAATCCCTGAGACCTCCCAGTGGAGATAAAACTGACTCCTGAAAGTTGTCTTCCAACCTCTGCAAACATGTCATGGTGTGTGTGTGTGTGTGTGTGTGTGTGTGTGTGTGTGTGTGTACATGCACCCAAATAAAAATTAAATTATAAACGAAATGGCCCCTGAAAGTATAAACTTTGGGTTATGCTTTTTGCTTTAGATTACATTTTAAAATGGTTAGTTTCAGGGTCTAGAAAGATGGCTCAGAGATTAAACGCTCTGGCTGCTCTTCCACAGGTCCTGAGTTCAATTTCCAGCAACCACATGGTGGCTCATAACCATCTATAATGAAATCTGGTGCCCTCTTCTGGTGTACAGGCATACATGCAAGCAGAACACTGTATACATAATAAATAAATCTTTTTTAAAAAAAATGGTTAGTTTCACATTATATGGATTTCATTTAGAAAGTGGGGGAGGGGTTACACCATCACTGAGCACCCAAATCTAGGAGTGTAGCCTTACTGCAGCCATGAGCTACAGGACCAACGCTGTTTCTATATCAGGAATCTGACCTTGCACCCACAATGCCCCTGAATGGCAGGATTTCTGAAGGCACAGAATTTTTCTTGTGCTGCTAGGGCAGAGGTTTCCAATTGGCCACTGTGCCCCAGCAGCCAAGCAGTCCTGCGGAAGTAAGACACAGAGGGTTTTCTAGGCATCAAAGGCCACTTGAAGTATGAGAGCTTCCTCAAGATAAGCATTCAGTACCTCCTTCAAGGCATTACGGAAAGAGTTAAGATTGTAAGCCTAGTGTGTGTGTGTGTGTGTGTGTGTGTGTGTGTGAGAGAGAGAGAGAGAGAGAGAGAGAGAGAGAGAGAGAGACAGAGACAGAGAGAGAGACAGAAAGAGAGAGACAGAGAGAGACAGAGAGACAGAGAGAGACAGAGAGAGACAGAGAGAGAGGGAGTGTGATGGATATACTCACCTGTGCACTCAAATATAAATGCCAGAAGTATCTTCTTCCTCTCCCACCTCCAGCGTGTTTCTTGAGATGAGGTCTCTCACTGAACCCCGAGTTCACCATCAGCTAGTCTGAAATCGGCCCAAGGGCTCTTCCTGCACCTACTCCCCGAGCACAAGGATGACAGATATGCACTGACACCCAGCTTTCCTTTCTTTTAGTTGGGTATTGGGATTCAAACTCTGATCCTTGTACTTACAAACATGCACTTTACCTACCCACTCTTCCCCATGATTAAGTTCTAAGAGAGAAATCTTTGTATCTGTCACCTCCCAGAAAGTGTGGGCAAAAGACTGCCTGTTAACACACCTGGCTCCTGCTTTAACCTCTAACTGTGCCCAGCTTTCCAGCAGTAGACAATAGGCCTGTGTTGTCTAGTTGGCTTCCTACTGAGCATCGTGTTCTCATGAAATGTGACTAACCCCTGACTCACTTAGAAATGTATGCTGTACAAGAAGGGGGACCCCAAAAATGTCCTCCTTGGAATTACCAGCAAAAGAGTTTTTATGCCTGCATTTCCACCCAGTGAGTACTTGCTTCCTCTGTACTTTAAACATCTTCACATCGCTGTTGGCTATTCTTCTCATCTTCTTCATGTTTAATCTTTTCCCTGCCTTTCCTTGTGTTGGTGACTACCACCGTTTGCTTGCCTCCTGACCCATTTTAAGGCATCATGGAGAATGGGCAGTGATGGTAAAGGCATCATCATTACTCATTTGGTAGATGTAACTGCCTATCACAGACAAGCCTTTGGAGCTATGTAGAAGAGATTTGACCAGTTCATATTAAAATAACTATTTTTATGCTGTACTAGAAAAAAACCTGGTTGCCTTTCCCATTCTGTTTCAGATATAGCATAACATAGCCTCCATTTTTAAAATAAACAAGTAATGTCATACTGTACTGTTGTTGCACACAGCAGGATAGCTGCTAAGTGCTTACCATTCTTCTACACACTGTGATGGTATGAGACACTGGAACATCCATTACAGGACACCTAGCACAAACCCACAGAGAATGCTGCAGCTTTTTGTCTGAGTCAAACACAAACTGTACTGCTCATATGCTATTTTTAAAAGACCTTTTCAACATTTTAAAACTTTCTGCTAAGCAAGTGGCAATATTTCAGTCACAGTTATAAATCTCATCCACTGTTCTCCCACTGCAGGGACTTCCAGAATCTCAGAAAATAACTGCTGAGTTTCTCTTACTTGGAAATTTTTGCTCAAAAATCTGTAACTTAAAACAGTTGACACTATTCACTGATATGTGACAGGGTCTAAAATATCCCAAATAGACCCAAAACTCGATATGTAGCCAAGGATGGCCTTGAACTTCTGATCTTCCTGCTTCTACCTCCTCTGTAACCCAAAAATTAGAGACACATGCCCCTGGACTAGCAACATACGCCACCATGCTTGGCTTATGCAGTACTCAAGTTTAAAGCACTCTTTATCCCTAGCTGAGTAAAAGCTTTAGGAAGCCAACAAAATAAGACACTCTTGTGTTTTCTTTCTGAAACCTATGATTAAAATATGCTGAAGTAATATGAAGACTACAGGCAAAGAAAAGTGGACAGAGCAATGTTTAATTCTTTGCAAACACAAAGGTAGAACAAATGATACAGTAATTTAAGAATGCCAGGATTGTGTAAAATAGGAATGCATTCAGTTTTCCTTCAGAAAGCGTTAATTCTATTTTTTTTAATGTCTTGGGTTTGACTATGAGAAAATTAATAGTACTGAGACCACAAGTTAATCAGATATAATGAGAAGTTCCTTCAATAAAAACAACCAAACCTAAGCCTGGCCACCCATCCTTTCGACTTTGTTATCTCCTCGTAAAACTGATGACATTAACTCAAAGAAGTTTGCCGGCTGGGGTCCCTCCCCAATTAGCCACTCAGAGTTGCACAGAACCACACAACTCTTTCCCCTCTGGACCTGATTTAAAAAAAAAAAAAATACAGCAAGCAGAATCCATATATGTAGCCTTGGCTTACCTGAAACTCCCTACCCTGACCAGGCTGGCTCAAGTTCAGAGATCCACTTACAGGTGTGTGCCACCAAGCTGGCTGGACCTTACTGACTGTAAAAGGAAGGTACGGTGGCCTCATGCTATCAATGAGGAATAGGACATACAATGTCTTGACTAAAGAAGTGTAGAGATCCCACCAGTGTTAAGTAGAAGGCAGTGCTGGTTAAGTCCTTCCCTACTGTCATTTCTACTGTGGAAAATTACTTCATTTACTTATATAGCTTTTCAAAATTAGCCACCAGTTCTCCAGTGCATGTCGATCACTGGCAGTATATAGAAAAGGAAAATCTAGGGTAACTCAAACCACACAAACTCTACCTGCTTTCACATTAGACTATACACAGTGGAAACCTGCCTCAAACACCATGAGATAGTTAAGAGTACAAGGCACAGCTGACGTTTAGTAGCGTGGTGTGTGTAGGGAATGCTCACGTGCACAGTGCACACGTGGAGATCTAAAGACAAGTTATGGGGTAGCGGGTCCTCGCTCTCCTTCCATCATACGTGTTGAGAAAAGATCTCCAACCCTAACCCTAACCCAGGCTTGACAACCGTTGCTTTCACCTGCTGAGCCAGTGTGCTGGCAACTAGTTATAATTTCTTGAACCTTTACAGATATTGAGCCTTGAAGATGAAACAGACTGCTGTCTAAAAGACAGGAGTATATTTCCAAAGTCCTTAAGTGGCTCAAATTAATTTTTTAAAAATGCTGACCCTGCTTTCTGTTTACTGTCACCTCGAAAATGTTTTACACTACAGTAGAATTCTGATTCTATGTCTTCATGTAGAAACTTCACAGTGGAAGACACTGACCATTATTAAGTGTAAAGGCATCAAAACCAGCCAGCATTTGGTATTACAGTGTGGAATATTCTTACAAGCCTTTCCTATAACACACTCATTAACTGCCCCGGTTATAAGACTCACTTGCTGTCCATTCCCCAACCATTAAATCTATTTTTGTACCTATACCACATAAAACCAACGCTGGCAGACAAAATGGCTCACCTTGAGAATCTAAAAACTTCTATGTATCTTTAAAAGCAACTGAGAAGTGTCCCCTAGAGCTGTCACATCCAGTCCCATCCATTACCATAACAACAAAGCAAAAAGGTGCTACACCTTACAAAGAGATTAAAGTAAAATAATTTTACTTGTCTGAAAACATTTCCTAGCTCTTAAGCAGAGAGGGGGACAATTTTTTAATTGCTTAGAGAGGGCAAAGTATTTCACAAGTAAAAATAGTACATTTATTGACAGTTGTACAAAAGATTCCAAAATATTTCATCATTGCAGTAAAATGTGATTTAAAGCTAATAAGTGCGACACACTGAATAAATGTCACTCATGAACATAGCCTATTATTTCTTACAAAGTCCTCAATTAGGAACAGCAGGTATAAGGTGTGTATTTTCCAACATTTGGTAGTATTAGCTAAAAATCCCTGGGCCAAGAGGACCTGAGTTTCAGGCCCCTCACCTCACACATAAAGATCCTGGACTGACCACCCTGGAGCATGCTCAACCTACATGTTTCTGTCATTGGCACTAAAATTCTATTTTGTGCCATGTTGCATGATTTGGCTTTTGTATTACATATGTATATATTTATGGGACACAGAGTAGTAATTAATAAATCCTGTCAAGGGTGACATGTTTTAACTCACTACATTTTCCAAACTAAACCCCCAAATTCTTCCAGATAAGTGGCAAAGCAGGTTTTCCAAGTACTTCTCCATCACTTAACAGAGAGGTGAGGATATCCCAGACACTGGATGGTGATCAGCAGAGATAGCTCTGGCTGTGGTTCCAATTCTATGTGACTTTGGGTCACTGAGAGCCCAGGTGTCCACAGCTCCCATAGCTCTGTGTTTTGACACAAATAACATCAATACTTCAAAGCATTTGCTGCAGACTTTAAATCACCACATAGCTGCAAAAGAATTCAGTAATCAATATAAGTGGACTTTTGATTTAAAAAGAATCTGGATATTTTAGAAAAGTACATGTCCTTAGTCACCAGTTAAAACCAAGGTGACTGAGCCTCTGGTCACCTGACCTCTTGCTGTCACCCTGGTCTCCCTGCTGATAACACTTTAGATTGCAGCAGGCCTGAGTTCAGATTATATCCCCTAACATGTTGCAACCTGACCTGAAAATGGGGCACCCATGCTTCCCAATCCAGTCTGTTACTTGGGCAACAGCAGTAGTCACTATTCACTACCAAATGTAGTTCCAGCCAGGCCAGCCATGAGCCTCACCTCATCCCTGGCCTTCAGCCTCTGGATGCCTGGGTCGGACCCAGAGAAACTCACTTTCGTCAAAATCTCCATCCAATCTCAAGTCAGTCGGTTCAGCCTGGGCCACTGAGTGCTTCACTCCCAGTTTATTCTCTGCTGCCACTTGGGTTGTTTGGGAATAGCATTTCTCTTATAAGCCAGATGTGGAGGCACACCCTTCTTATTACAATGCTCAGGACACCATGGGCACTGTAAACTCAAGGCCAGCTGGGGCTACACAGTGAGACTTTGTTTTTAGAGAAAATCCCTTGCGTTGATTGTGAACGCACTACTCGTGCTCTGGACTTAGCTCCATGGGGAACCAGTCATTACAATCACTGCAATAAAACGATGCCATGATCAATTCAGCACTCTGTCGATTTGTGTGGGTTTTAATGGACCACTGGGTTCTGCTTCGTGGGAGATAAGAAGACTATCTGATTAGGTGTCACCACTCACAGATGACAGAACTCCAAAAGCAGAGAGGCTGCTAACCAGCTACTCCACAGTTTTTAGATGCTTCTAGCAGACATAAATGAAAACTTGAAAGAAATACTCAGCTTCCTACAGAAACCAAGGACTTCACACTCCATACCACACCAAGGGAATTATGTGTGTTCAAAAACACGTCCAATTAACCAAACATATCAGAATAAAGTTGGTAAAATCGATCCTTTAGGAGCTTTGGCAAACACTAATTGTGAAAAAAATCACACATGACATATTTGGTACAACGTGGTTCCAAATACATCTCTTCCAAATTTAGCAAAAACCACATCTGGATCTGCCAGGCGTCCCACGTGCATTTAAGAGCTTCGGAATGTAGTCATATCTTTGGGCTCTCTGCTGGGCACACACCAGTCATCAGCCTCGTGATTGGTTTTGTAATGCTTCCAGGCAGCTTTATTATACACAGGGAGTCTTTCGATGGATTCTGTTGACAGAGCCTAGGGTTGGAAAAAAAGTCAGGCACGTTTAAGAATTCATTACCTGAGATAATATACAGTGGCAAACAATGACTACAAAGCAAACAGGGTTCTACTGGCATCTTATCAACTAATTACTAACCACTCACCATCTTCAGGGTAGATATATTAGGAACATGCTATTTACTACAGTTTGGGGCACCGATAACACAGTGATTGGGTTTGATGCTTCAGTTATCTACTAGCCAGCCTGGAAATGTCTACCCAAGCAGAATAGACATCTTATGCAAAGTGAAAGCCCAGCCAGGAGTCAGCTACTTTAAAAAAATGGTAAGTATAAAATCAGCATATCTACCTTAATATTCATACAAAGATGTAATGAGAAGAAAGCCAATCTTTTTCACTATATAGTAATATAAAAACAATACGCAGGAATGGAGATGGCTCGGTAGTTACGAGCACTTGCTGCAGAGGACCGGGGTTCAGTTCCTGGCACTCACATGGTGCTCACCATTACCTATAACTCCAGGACAGAAAACCTGCTGCCCTATTCCGACTTCCACACACAGCAGACAGACACGTAGTATAGAGACTCAGATGTACGCAAAACACTGTACACATAAAATAAACATCTAAAAATCTTAAAAATGGAATACACCGATATTCGCAGCAGTAAACACAAAGCTCAGTCTGGGCACCTTGGCTTTTACATGACCAGTGCTTGGTCCTTTTGTTTGCACCCTGTGTGTTTCACTCCCCGGCACCCAGGCTGGAGACTTGACATGGGATCTTGTACATGAAGGAAGCACTGTGTTTTCTCCTCCTGCATTAAAGTCAGTTTTGGTCACACACAACCATTCATTCCTTACTCTACAGCTTCCTGTGAATACTGGGAGCCAGTGATAAACTATGATTTCTGTTACTGTCTTCACAGTAGGAATTGTCAGAATCGTGACAATGGGCCACTGATAGTTCCCAAGATGATGCTGACAGTATGAAACTAGAACTTCCCTCCTGGTGATGCTGAATAAGGTCTGTCATGTGACTGGGTGTGATCCCAAATAGAAAAACTTTCCACCTCCACGCTCTGAGCAGTCTAAACATAAACCAACATGACATATTTAGTGTCAAAAATGTCATGCTGATATGGTCCTATTTAAGTTCCTCACAAAGACATGTGAGGGAAAGTAACATGGCTATAAAGAATTTAATCTTTTCAGGCCAACTTTTTTCACAAAATTTTTGAGCATAGCCTATAAAATAGGTGCCATCTAGTGGCCAGAACAAGAAACTGGAGGCACCAAAAGCGTAACCAGTACTTTTAAAAAAACTGTCACTATCATGACACTGATTTGCTTGAGTATGCGTGGCTCAGCAGGTAAAGACGCTTGCCATCAAGCCTAGTGATCTCAATGTAATCTCAAGACCCACGTGGTCAGAGGAACAAACCCCAGCGAGTTCTCCTCTCCACACATCTGATGTCCCCGCAAACAAACAAACAAACAACAAACAAACGTGTTTAAAAGAACTACTTCAGGTGGCTGGGGAGAAGACCCATGTTTAATCTCCAAACCCACATGGGGAAAGGAGAGAACTAAAACTTGTCCTCTGATCCCATGCATGTGTGTCCATGAACATACAACACACACTAAATAAACAACAAACATTTTTTTTAAAGAGCAGCTCAATGACTGGTCATGTTGCACATTAAATAGCTTTAATTTACTTCTTTTTTACAGTGCTGTGGAGTGTACCCAGGGTCTTTCTTGCACATTCAGGATTCTCTATTTCTTTCCCACTGCCCTCAACTACCAAAGTAGGTACAGTCCCATATAAGTATCTCTACATTTATCAAATACCATGTGGTTTAGTAAAATCCCGTTACACTTTTTCATTGGTACCTTTTCTTATCATTAAAAGAAGTTGGGTTAACGAGCTGAAAAGCCGGCCTAATGGCTCAAAGTACTGACTGCTCCTATAGCAACACAAGGTTCAGTTCCCAGCACCTACACGGTACCTCACAACTGTCTGTAACTCCAGCTGCAGGGACCCCATGGCCACTCCTGGCCTCTGAGGGCTCTTGGATACATATGGTACACATAAACTCACACACATACATGTACAAATAAAAATTTAACTACAGTTAAATCAAGAAGCCTTGGTTATTACCTTAATATAGATGACGGCATCTGTCCCGTAGCCCTCCAAGGAATACAGCTTTAGGTCTCCCTGGAAGTACTGTGCATAGAGGCGTGATATGGGCAATCCGTAACCAAACCCAGCCTGTTCAATGAGAAAACAGTTCTGTTCAGAGGTCTGCACCATGAAACATTTTTCCGACTAAGATAAACGTCTGAGTACCGCAAAGCCATCAGCCCGTGCAGCTGACAGAGCTTGTAAAACACAATCATGCGGAAGGATTAAGCCGGAGTTTAGCTGGGCCCATTAGCTCACCAACTATGGACCTAAAAAGCCTTTTATTCTGTCTATAAAATGATTTGTGGAAGTCTGAAGAAGGCATATTGCTTTTCTTTGCTGCCCTGCTCCTGGGTTCCCCAATAGAGCTTTCAGCACTTTCATCTAAAGCACACCGTTTCGTTTAGGAGCAAGACTAGAAAATGTCTGGATGCAGCTTCCCTAACGATAGATGGGAATCTCGGGACTTCACACCATGGATCTCCAGCCTTTGTTCTGAACCTGTGAATGATCTGTGACAGTCTGCTTCCTTATTCTCACGGACAGATCACTCCCCTGCTCCAGAATCTTCAAAGCATACCAGTGCTCCCCCACCCTAGAGAGAAAAGCCAAACTTCTAGAAAGAGCTTCCAAGACAAGATCAGGTCTCTGCCGCCTGCTCTCCTGTCTAATGGAGCCAATGTCCTTCCCTGACTTCCTTCAACACAGGACTTCTGGGTCTTTGTTCAACCTGTTTCCAGTATCTGATCCTTCTTTCCCTAAGTAAATTCTACAGACACTTGGGGAAAGATAAAAACGGTCTCCATCACCAAGCCATGCTTTTGGTGGTGTTCCTCAATGTTTATGTGAACAGAAGCATCACTAATAACACGAATAGGCTCTGACTTTTCCCCCACTCATTATTTTTTCATATTATTTGTGTGTTTATGAGTGCAGGTATGTACGTATAATGTTCTATGCGTGGAGGGGAGGACCACTTCCAGGAATCATTTCTCTCCTGCCACCATGGGATCTGGGGATCAAATGATGTCATCGGCATTAGAAGGCAAGCATTTGCCCACAGAGCCATCGCACTAGTATCTGTCTTATATTCCACTGTTTCCAGGTGGCCCCCCAAGACAACTAACCAAGTTCCAACTTTCTCCCTGCCCTAGGGCTGAGCTGCAACCAAAACACTCATACACTTACAAACAAAAATAATAATAACATTAAAACTTTTAAAAATGTAAAAATCTGGGCATTGTGGCATATGTCTTTAATCCCAGGGCACTAGAGCCAATGGCAGGTGAAGGACAAAAATAAAAAGAGAGCAGACTTTCAGTTGTGTCTACCAATGAGGTCTTTCTAAATACAAATACTTGGGGGGAAACTCACGTTAAGTCAGTGATGACCAATGACTAGTACAGTCCTTATGCAGTCTTCATACTGAAATTGACTATTACATATGGTTTACCACAGAAAAGGCTGCTATGACATCGCTACCAGAAAAACCTCAAACTACCATCTGACTTGTGCGTGCCTGTTTCAATTAAAAAATGTCCCAGGGCTCTTTAAATTCAGACAGAAGTATTTGTCTCTAAAGTTTTGAAGCATTTTCCTTCCTTGTAAGCTCCTGTGAAATCGGCTTAACTGGTATTGGGAAAGTCACATTCTGATGGTGGATGACGGACACCACAGCCCTTCTCCACCACATACCAGGGGCACCGCACGGGACGTTTCCACACGAGGCCGGGGTGCAGTTGAGTACATGTAGTTGAAGAGTCTGTCAATCTTCCTCAGAGGAACACCACCTCCCCGGTCACTCATCTAAGAGGAGACAGGATCAAACTGTGACCGGGTCCCACGCATTACAGCATTGTGACTGAACTACGTTGGGGAGGAGGCTGCTTTTATAAATCCAAGCTGCAAATTTTAATACTGCCCTCAATGGTGTAGCTAACACGAAGTTAATCCTTCCTGGTGGGCAATACTATAACCAGAATAAAATAAATAAAAGAACAAGGATACTCTATACTTCAGTGCCACCTCCTAAGTTTATCCTAAAAACACTAAAGTAGGCAAAGTACACATGAGAATATCCATCATGGTTTTAAGAACAATCAGAGAGTAACATACATGGGGCCTACACAAAATGCATTCTAAAACAGAATGCTGTGAGCCATTTAAATGTTATGTAGAACACTCTTGTGTATTAGCAAGAGAGTGGTCTACAAAAAATAGGCAACAATGAACAAGTTAGAAATGCTCACAGTTCTAACTTCGTAAATATATTATAAAACTGAAGTGTAAATGGGCTAGAAAGATGGCTTTGCAGTTAAGAGCACTGGCTGCTCTTCCAGAGGCCTGGGTTTGGTTCCTAGCTCCTACACAGTGACTCAAAACCATCAGTAACTCCAGTTCCAGGGGATCCAACACCTACTTCTGGCCTCCACAGGCACTGTACACATGTGTGACCCATAGACACATACAGATAAACTAAAAGAAATCTCTTTTTTAAGGAATTCAGTGTGGTACTACATACCTACAATCTTAGCATACAGGAGGCGGAGGCAGGAGGATTGCCATAACTAGAGACTAGCTTGTGCTATAATGTAATATTCTGTCTCAATAAAGCAAAACTAAGGACCATGAGATGGCCCAATGGTAAAGATACTTGGCACTGAGCCTAAGGACCTGATCAATCCCTAAAGTGCATATAAAGGAACAAGCATCACCCTGCTCCACCTCTGACCTCCACACCTGTGCTCGACACATGCAGACACAACAAATAAACCCAACTTTGCAACACAGAATCCCAGATAACCTTTTAGTGAGTTAAAGGACTCACTAGTTATATCTTTGCTATTCTGTCATTTTTCAAGCCAAGTAACCACATGGTAGATTGAATTTGTAATTAAATTACCCATTATGTCTACTGTTTTCCTTTATAATTAATATAGACTACTTTCCTAGCCTATATTCTAATTTACTATAAATATCCCTTCTGTCATAAGACCTAAGTTGATGTTCTTAACAAATATGCTTTTAGCATACGCATACAGTACATAATATAGACAAAAGTTATCATGTAAATGGATTACAGTTGAGTTTTCATATATTATTTAAGATGATAATGTATATATCCTAGAAACATACTAAGAATTATATAGCTACTTTCATTTCCTATGCGGTATGTGGAGGGCCAACCCCCTCCCACACTCTAGAAGCTACACTCAGAGCCCTATTGAGATTTTCAAAGGTAAAAAGTTTGCCTTGAGATATCATTTGAAGCTCTCCCTCTCATACAGCTAGAACTAAGTAACTACAGTATCAACGTATGTAAGGCCTTTACAAAGAACCTGTGTTTAGAATTATGCATAAAACTGCTCTTGGCTGTGAATTCAAAGGCCTGCAAAGTGACTTATTTCAGTGCAATGAATAAAAAGCTCTGGGATGAGTAGTTTCAGGGGCTAACTCAATGTTTGGCTGTTCTTCCCTGGTAAGAAGTGTGGGTGCACTGGGAACCCTAAGTGAGAGGCATGTCACAACAGACTAATTAGGATAAAGGAGGGAGGGATGCTAAAGAGATGGCTCAGAGGTTAAGAGCACCTGTTGTTCCTGCAGAGGACCCAGGTTCAGTTCTAGCACCCACATGGTGGCTCACAACCATTCATACTCAAATTTCAGAGGATCTGATACCCTCTTCTTACATCCATGGGTACAAGGTATGTATGTAGTATACAGATACATATGCAGACACAACATTCACATACATAAAATAAATCTAAAAGTGGAGCAGTACTACTAACAATCCCAGAGCTTCTGAGGCAAGATGGAGGCAGAGGCTGGATGACTGCAGGCCAGCTAGTTTGGCTCACACAGTAGCAAAAACAAAGGGACCCTGTCTCAAACAAGGTATAAGGTGAAGACTGACATCCAAAGTTGTCCTCGGACCTCCAAATGATCATACCTCTGTGTGTGTGTGTGTCTGTATGTGTATACTCACACATACACACACACAGCATGCATACACCACTAAAAGGAAGTTTTGAATAAATATTTCCTCATTTTCTTTACTTAACCTTCTGGCAACAGACTAACTTCCTAGCCTTAAGACTACGTGGCATGTACATAACAAGAGGTAATTCCTGGCAGTCTGAAGAAAACATGGATCAGAAAGGACTGTGGGGCTGTGAGAGATGGCATGTCACTAGAGGCTGACAGACAATCTAAGCCAGGGGTCATGGCTAGACCTGATGAATAACCTCTGCTTTGCAGTCAACATGATAACGAATGTGGTGGATTATATAAAATATTCAGGGCAGTTTCTAAGACTGTTTAAGAGACTGCCAAAAGCTCCGAGTCCAAACGTGAACCTGAGCCTGTGCCAAGGAAAGGTCCTGGAAGAGTTAAGTGCTACCACGAGGAAGGCAGGGAAGCAGAGTGCCAGCTCACCTTCAGCGCACAAACTATTGCTCAAAGCATCTGGCCAAGAGCTGCTGCCATCATCCACAGCCCCTATCTGACCCCCGACTTACTGTTCTTCCAACACTGAGTCCCTGAGCCAACTCATGTCAATCCAGGCCCAGAGGAAAGGAATCCTTCCTGACTGTTTTGTTGTTACTTTTAAATGAAGCTGGAGAGATGCCTTCACAGTTCAGAGCACTGGCTGCTCTTGTGGAAGACCTAGGTTTGGTTCCCAGCACCCACATGGTGGCTTACAACTATCCACTATTCAAGTTCCAGAGGATCCAGCACCCTCTTCTGAGCTCTATGGGTATCAGGCACACACATGGTACATAAATACACATGCAAACAAAACACTCATGAGCATAAAATAAAAAATACAACCTGAAAATGATTCTAGTTGCGAATTTCATACAACCCGTACAGCAAATGCGTCCAACTGCTATATATTATTTGTGCTTCACTCATTTGAATAAAAAGCCAATTTTTTAAAAAAAAAAACAGAAATCCAAAGGAGACAGTATAGGAAGAAGAGAAAAATAGGAAGTAAATAAATTATAATTTCAAATAAATAAACAAATAAACAAATATAATGACTACCTTCAAAGTGACAAAAGAGAAAGCCAGAACAGAATATTATAAGGAACAATTTTTTAAAATTCTTTAAAAATCTAAAAGCCACTGGATATAAAACTTCAGTAGAAGAGCTGAGTCTGTAGTCTAGGAAGGGGCTAGTGAGCGGCTCAGTGGAGAAAGGTGGATGCTGCCAAGCTGGCTGACCTGACTTCCATCCCTCCAACCCAACCTGCTCGCAGCAGAAACTGATTCCAAAGGAAACTGGGATGATGGGTTAATACTGACTGACTATCAACCCAATAGGATCTACACTCACCTAGAAGATAGTCTCTGGGCTTGTCTGTGGGGGGCTACCTAGATACATTACTTCTAATTATGCCACGGGGGGAAGGGTACCTAGATTAGGTTACTTCTGGCAATCCCGATGAGGGATTATCTTAATTACGATAATTTAGGTGGAGAGACCCATGCTAAAAGTAGCATAACCCCCTGGTCTTGGGCTAGCTTGCAAAAAAGGCGGCTACCCGAACCCCAGTATCACAGCTATTTCCTGACTATGGCCACAAGGCAGCCAGAGCCTGGAGCTCCTTCCCCAGCATGGTGCTCTGTCACACCCTCTATGAGCCAAAACAAATCCCTTCTCTTTCAAGCTGCTTTTCCCATGGGGAACAGGAGAAGAAGAAAATAAGACAAACGAGTCCAGAGGTCCCAGAGAAAAACAAAGGTCCACACTGACTAACATCACAGTGAATTCTAGAACACAATCCAAAAGAAGATCTAAGAGTGTCAGTCAAAAAACAAAACAAAACAAAAACAGACAGCTAAAACCAATCACACAAAGGCAGAGGAAAGGAAGAGCACCTACAGAAAACCTTCTGAAGAAAACCTGAACCCCAGGCTGTTCTCAGGACAACCTTACTGCCATCTGCCAAAAGAAAGGGCTCCCCACACTCACTCTTCCAACATAGCACCAAAAAAAAAAGACAAAAATTTTGTCAGAACCCCTGAAAATAAAGCAACTGAGAGGCACTTGTTCAACAAAGTATTGAACAGTTGGCTCTGTGTGGCTTTGGCTCACGGTCCTCTCAGTCTTGCTCCCAGCCCCCGCCAGTGACAGGTAGCAGTAGGCACTGACAGCCACTCAGAAGGCTTGCTTGGCTGAGTTTGAGTTCCACAGCACCCTACCACTATTAAGTCTGAAACAATCAGAAGAAATGGAATACTTTTTAAAATAAAAACTTTTTTTTAATTTTTATTTTACATTTACTGTTGCCTGCATGTCTGCCTGTGTGAGGTGTCAGATCCCCTGGAACTCGAGTTATACAGACAGAGCTGCCATGTCGGTGCTGGGAATTGAACCCTGGTCCTCTAGAAGAACAGTGTGATGGTATGAATATGCTTGGCCCATGAGAATTGGCACTATTAGGAGGTGTGGCCTTGTTGGAGTAGGTGTGGCCCTGTTGGAGGAAGTGTGTCACTATGTAGGCTGGCTTTGAAGTCCTATGCTCAAGTTCCATCTAGTGTGGAAGAGATCCTCCTGGGTGCCTTTGGATCAAGACGTAGAACTCTTTGTTCCCCCAGCAACAAGTAAGTCGGCCTGCATACTGCCATGCTTCCCACCATGATGATAATGGACTAAACCTCTGAAACTGTAAGCCAGCCCCAATTAAATAATTGCCTTTATAAGAGCTGCCTTGATCACAGTGTCTCTTCATAGCAATAAAACCCAAACCAAGACAAGCAGCCAGTGCTCTTAACCTCTGAGCCATCTCTCCAGTCCCAGGGATCACTTTGAGGGCTCCAAGCACATGCTCAAACTAAAATAAATAACAGGCTAACCAGAGGTAAGCAGGACAGTGAGGAAAGATAGCCATAGGGCTTTGGAAAGCTCAACCGTGGGGCTGTATTCTGAGAGCTATGCTCCCACCCAGGAAAGCCCACCAGAAGGCCCCAAGCTCTCAACCCTACCTGACTGAGATCAGGCTACACCCTGCCCTAAGAGGGTCTGCTGAAGACAGAACAGAGCAGATGGAATAAGGGGTTGAAACCACAGTAAGATTAATGTTTTCCATCACACTGAGTGTGCCCAAATACTGAAGGTTCTCACTGATCAAAGTCTGTCTCCAGGTGTTCCTTCAACCTGCATCATCTGGATTAAGGACCAGAATAGAAACAGACTCAAAAGATAATTCTATAATTTGCCAGATAAACAAGGCAAAGTGCTTATTATCTGGTTGACTGAAATTCTTTCCCGTGAGAATAAATTACACACTACAGAAATTAGACATATTATATTATTTTTACATGCCTACACATCCATTTCTTTTACAGAAATTACCTTCACAGTCAAATCCTCCTCACCCAGTGTGACGTGAACTTGAATCGGGGGATAAACACCTTTGTCCGCATGGTGCTCCATGGTGGCTCTCATTGCATTCTGAAACATATTAGGATTATATTAAAGTATAGTTTTTTAAAAGCAACTACTTATAATTTTGAAATATATATACATTATGTGAATTTTAAGTTTCCTTTCTCATTGGTTTGAAACTAAAAGTATTTATACATAAAATGTTTTGACTAGTTTCTAAAAGGTAGGAGGCACACGAGGCCTGCATTGCCTAAACATGGGTTAGTAACAGGACCTGTGACACTAGAGTAGAAACCGATAAAGCCAGAGGAAGCTGGGACCTGACATGGGAATTAAGAGTAATCCCTGGCTGCTAATGACTGAGCAGACCCAAGGAGAGGAGATTATACTTGTTTCCCCCCGGTTCAATACTAGGTTCCAAACAAAAGCCACTGTCATGGACATTAGATAAATATGTCACAGCTTACATAAAGTTTTATTAAGTATTATAGGGTAAAATCTTTGCATGACTGAAATTTCAAGGGGATAAAAAAGTTCAAACGTGTTAGGGACAATGGCTTTTTAGGCACTTTGATAGATTAATATAGGTGCCACAGCTCTTGACTTGTCAAAGCAAAGCGAGTACGTCCCACCCTTACTTTCTTAGTTTTCTATGGTTCAGTATGTTGTTCTGTATTTTCTTTTCTTTCTGGATTCTAAGCCAGGGTCTTGCTATGCTGCTCAGAGTGGTCTAAAATGCTTAGTAAACCTTTCCTGCTTCCACCTCAAAGGTGCTGGGATCACAGTCACAGGAGTGTGCCCCTCCGCCTGGCCAGCCTACTGTTACTGTGCATTAGTCCACAGAAAGGCAGCTCTCCCGCTCCTCCGCTCTGCTGCCGGCAGGAGTCTGAGCACCTAAGCAGGAGGTGGCACAGCCTGCTGATCTAGGATAGCCATTTTTCAACTGCAGGAACCAACCACATTTATCAACCACCTAGCAAGTGTCCCAGTGGCAGGGAAGGCAACTCTCAACACAACCAGCATGCTTTTACTGAGTTTTCCAAATATGTATAAACAGCAAATAGTTCTCTAAGTCCAGTATCAACAACTTCCTAAGAAACATGAAAACAAAGGCATGTAAGTGGGACTTGCTCAGGGGTAGAAAGTTGGGAAATACAATTTGTACATATTTTGGTTCATGAAAATACAAACATAAATTTAAGCACTTGTAGGATGCTCTATTACAATGGCCACTCAATACATCTTTCCCAGTCTTCCCTGGAGAGTATTACCCTAGCTTCAAAGAGGACTGGGGTTGAGAGCCGTTGAGTCATTTGCCCAAGGTTACATACCAAGCAGCAGAGTCTTTACTCAGCTCCAGGTCTTTCTGGCTCCCTGGTCTGTATGGAGGCACCATTTGTATAGACAAAAGGCTCACTTCCAGCAGAGTGGTATAATATGCACATAAAATGGCATAGCATCATGGAATAGAAGCCCAAAGGAATATGGTTTTCAGAGCAGATTCCTAAGCTCAGGAAAGGACTGGTAAATGTGACACAATACTATTTTACAAACCTTGAACAGTTCAAACACCATGTGATAGAGATGGGATGGTACATAAACCACTTGTATTGTCTGTCCTGGTGATTTCGCTACAGAGCAGAAGAGAAACATATGAAAGTACAGAGAGATGTGCTCAAAGCATTCTTAAGAATAAACTGTGGGGTGACAAAGAGCGAACATTACTGATGGAGGGAGGTGCTATGGGGGGACTCGCACCCCACTTCTTCACTGTCTTAAAGTTTGAACCCTGTACTCACACTCACAGATGACAGGGATAAGAGTCCTGATGCTATTTCTCACACTCTGGTGTAAGAGGCTAGCCACCCATCCTCCCATGCTTCTCTAGGACAGCAAGTCTTAAAAGAATTTGATCTTCAGGTAGGATTGTAATTCCCAAGATGGATATCTTAGAAGAAAAAAAAAATGTTTCACCTGGGTAGAATACTGTCTATTTTATTTCAGACATTTCTATGGATAAAACATTTGATTTAAAAGAAGAAAAAGAAAAACAAAAAAAAGCTAGCATTATTACCCAAGAGATATGTACAACATAGACCTCTGGGAGAACAAAGTGGTAAGACACTGTACTTCCAGAATACTCTGACCAGTAAAAAACTGGACTATAACTCAAGCAGTGAACCAAACTGTCCTCTGAAAAGCTCCCACTTGGAAACATGAGTGGGAGATCTTGAAACTTCTATACAGCTCAAGTTCCTAAACTCTCACCTGTGGCATGGGGTTCTTACTGACTGGGTGGCACCATCAGAAGAAACCACGAGCCACGCTACCCCAACTAGGTAAGTGCGCATTGCTCATATTCAGAGGTTCAGACTGTGGTTTAGCTCAAGCCTATTAAAACGTATTTCTTCCCATCACCTTCTCAAAGGATCATCTTAACATAGGAGAGGTTTCCTCGTCAAATGACCATTAGCAGTCTCTGTCCAAAACTCTGAACCCTTTATCCAAAGGCAGGGTGAAGGCCTTCAGAGCCGCTCAGACAGGTAAGCACTTCCTGTCTTTCACACACCCAGCCTTCTGCCTTCAACAATAAAAACTGACTTACAATTCAGGAAGTAGAAAAAAAGATAAACTTTGCTACGAGCTGTACACAAAAATTTTTAAATTTTTCTTAGTATTCCGTAGCTGAAGAAAATAGCAAAGAATCAAAATTATCAGTTAAAAAAAAATAAAGAGAACTAAAACAAAACAGCAAAATATTCAAACTAAACTCAGTAAGTGTGGATGTGGGCTGCACACATGACTCTTCTGCCTTCACACTTAGTGATGGAGTTGAGGGAAGAGCCCTTTACTGTTTGAGCAAATCACAACTCGCTCCTTGGCTATCAGAACACCCACTACTTAGGACAGGTGCCCCCAGGCAGGCTTACCATTTAGTTCTTCAAGTTCTAGTTCAGGAGAGTTAACATAATACAAATCACAAAGCCGCCTAGCGTTCTCATAGCCATCTAGTGTGAAGCAAACAGAACAAAGAAACATTAAAGAAATGTACTTCTATCTTACCCAACAGGAGGCCAACAGTATTGACAAATGAAAACTTAAAACTCTCTGCAGAAGAAATATACTTCAGCAATCTTAGCAAGGGAAGGTCTGCTACGTCGCAAAGCCTGAGCCGTAACAGAAAGATGACAGAAAGGGCAGAAACATGCCATGAACAAAGCAAAGGAAACAGCACAGGCTAAAGAGATTATGATATACATTAAATATATATATGTGCATATATATTTATCTTTGAGACATCTCAGAAAGAGTTGGTCAGGGTTCTAGAAGTCTACATTTTTATCTATTGTTTGTTACCTTTTTTTTTGGGGGGGGTAGTACTGAAAACTTAAATGCCTAAAAATGTTTTTAATTCTACGATTTGTTATTATTGTTGTTGAGTTATCAGTCTTACAATGTAACTCCAGCTGGTCTAATCTCGAATTCCCTGGCTGGTCCTGGTCTTGAATGCTAGGATCAAGGATGTGTACCACCACGTCTGGCAAGCCTAAGATTCTTGCCTTCTAGTAGCAAAAATCACTATGTATCTACCCATGTTCACTAGGACAGTGTGAGTAACAGGAAGGGAAAATGAGAACAACCTAATTTAACATTACAGGAAGGATAGGCTAGCACTCTGTTACATTCTAAAGAGCCACTCAAAAATGTGGGCTATGTCCACATGGCTATGAGTTTGTACCAAAATGTGTGGAACACTCCATCTTCTAAAAACAAGAAACCACAGCAGCTGCAGAGAAGACTCAACACAGGCAGTACATGTTTTTAAAACCAGCACCCAGGAGACAGAGGCAGGAGGCCTAGAAAGCATCTTCCAGGATAGTCAGAGACACATGGAGAAACACTGCCTCAAGGAAAAACAGCAAAAACCCAGCACAGGCTGCTTTTGCAGAGGACCTGGGTTCAATTCTCAGTATCTACATGATGGCTCACAACCATCTGTAATTTTAGTTCCAGAAGATCCCACCCCTTCTTCTAGCCTCCAAGAGCACCAGGCGTGCATATGATGTACAGGCATAAATGTGGGCAAAACACCTATATACTTAAAATAACAAAAACTAGATCAACTTATACATTGATGTGCATGTTATGTCAATAAATAATGCTTGATAATAGCCAGTTAGGGGTGGCACATATCTTTAATCCCAGCACTCAGGAGGCAGAAGAGGGTAGATCTCTGTGAGTTTAAGGCCAGCCTGGTCTACAGAGCCAAGACTACACAGAGAAAATCCTGTTTGAAAAAACAAACATACATGCTTGAAAAGATGCAAATTAAACTGTTACGAATTTTCACTCACTCTTTGAATTAGGAACTAGAAAGGACAGACTCGGAACCTGAATATTTCACTGCACTTCCTGTGTATGTGTGCGTATCTGTGGGCATGTGCATGCCAAGGGACAGGTATGGAGATCAAAGGGACAATGTTCAGTAGTTAGTTCTCTCCTTCCAACTAGGTAAGGTCTGGGGATCAAATTTAGGTTCTAAGTCTTCACACACTGAGCCATCTCAATGGCCATTTTTTAGGGAGGATGGGGAAAGATGTGAATTTTCGAAGGAAAACAGATAACTACACTTGCTAACATACAAAACTTTACTAACAGAGAATTCTGTTGGGAAGACACTCACCTTATATCCTGTATAATTAATGTCATGAAGTGATTCCAAGCCTAGCACTTGCTCTCATGATACAGCGAGAGTTGTAAGGGAAGGACCAACGCTCAGCTCTGACTCCGAATCCTGCTACAAAGGACAGATGCACTTACCTTTAATGACCTCGACTACATCGCAGTTTGGATTTATGCTTCCAATGTGTTTTCGGTGAGATGGACTTCCTTTTCCACCAAACAATAAAGCTATCAAAAGCGAAGAACCAAACCAAGTAAGCACATTTGCCTAACACCGCTTTCCAGACTTAAACAGTACTAAACAGGAGAACGAGTACTTTCCTTAAGCGTAAAGATGGTATTTTTAAAGTCAATAAACATGCCTTCTTTAAAGAGCAGTAATGTTCACTCTAAAGGGACATTTTCCGGATAATTATAAGAGCACTCGCTACACATAACAATTAGCTACTTCTTTCAACTTCGGGATACTTACAGTGCTGGTTGAGTAGCATTCTAATTGAGATGCGACTCATGTAGAACCGATCCAAAAAGTACTGAACATTCTGGCTGGTGACAGGATCCACCCCGAAGCTCTCCTTGTATTCAGTCACACCCTGGGCCATGGTAGGAATGACATCATTGTGCCGGTTTCTGATCCTTATCACTGTGTCTGTGAATCTAAACAAAGCTCTCGGTCAGAACTGCCAAGTATTTCGACAAGTGGCTTCAATACTAAGATACAAGCTGCAGCTACAAAAAGCCCTCCTTCAGAGAAAGAGGAGTCAGTGAAGGCTTTCCCACACTTGTGTACATTCATTTCAGCACGTAAGATACACAGACCTCACAAGGTGCAAGGATCTCAAAAAGGAAGCTTACATAATTTTTGGATTCCTGTGATGCTACATACTACTGCGAACAGTGTAAGGGTTTCCCTTATCCATCATCTGAGGCTCACTAAAGAGGATGGCATTCCAGAGACACACCGCCTAAGAAAAGTTCCTTGTTTCTAGGGAAACGCTCCCCAAGGAATCAAGCTGGATGAGCCAAGGAAGCTGGCTATGGCTCTCCTCCCTAGAGTTCAGAGAAAAGAGACCACCCGGAATAGAAAATCGAAAAAAGAACTCTGATTTCATTCACCCTGAATTTACATTGTGGGTGAGAAACTGGGCGATGGTGGCACACACCTGTAATCTCAGCCCTCAGGGAGGCAGAGGCAGGGCATCTCTGAGTTTGAGGCCAGCCTGGTCTACAGAGTTCAAGAATAACCAGAGCTGTACAGAGGAACCCTGTCTTGAAAAACAGAACAAAACAAAAACAAAAAAACCAAACCTAAACACAAAAACCAAATGGATGAGAAAAAGAAAATTGCTGGGTTAGAAGAGCTTTTCCTGGTCTACAGAGTGAGTTCCAGGATAGCCAGGGCTATACAGAGATACCCCGTCTCGAAAAACATAAAAAGAGAGAGAGAGAGAGAGACTCGAAAAACATAAAAAGAGAGAGACAGAGAGAGAGAGAGAGAGAGAGAGGAGAGAAGAGAGATATTGATTGATTTTCAAGTCACACTGCATTCTTGTTTTTGTCAATTTAAGGAGTAAGATAAAAGAAAGAAGTCTTAATTGTGATGCAACAAGCCAATCTCCTGACTAGTCGTGCCTTTGAAGGAGCTCTCTCCCGAGACAGCAGCTTGAGTGCCACTAGCACCAATGATTTCCTCACTTTTGGAATTCTTAGCTGGGAATAACTTCAAAACCAAGCTATTAAGACAAAATACAATTTTAAATTTTTTTCAAAACAACTGAAAATTCCAATCCCCTCCTTACTTACCTTTCTGTTCCTCTCTTTAGAACAAAACCTGTTGAGCAGGCCACAGTGACTCACCTGCAATGCCAGGCAGAGGCCAAAGCAGGTAGCTCACTGTGGACCAGAAGCCAGACTGGACTATACAGTGGTTTCCAAGAAAGCCTGAGCCACATGAGACTGTCTCAGAAAACAAAACCTGGTTTGGGGAGACAGTTCAGCTGCTAAAGTGCTTGCCACACAAGCATAATGACCTGAGTTCTGTCTGTACTCATTGATCACGTCAAGTGTGGTGACTGACACACATCTGTAACCTCAGGGTGGGAGGAACAGATAGGACTACTGGAATTCACTGGCCAATCTAGCCTGACTGACTTTCTCTAAGACAAGAGACCTTGCCTCAAAGTAGGTAGATGACATACATTCCAGAGGCTGATACCCAAGGCTGTCCTCCGGCCTCCACACACACGCACAGGAGCCTGCATATGCGTGAATTTTTAAAGGAATATAGATGACAGCATTACTCGGCCTGACTGCTCACCCCATCCCCTAGGCTCGGCTCACGGTGATGGTTTTCAAAGGGTCCTGCTGTAGCATTTATAGGATATTCTACCGTTTGCCTTTCGTTGTGTGCCTAGGCCTATCATTTACTAGCTACAAGACCTCAAGCTACGAACCCTCTTTGTGTATAAATGCACTATCTCTGTAGAGTTGCTTTAAACACTGAATGACACCACTCACCTAGAGAGTGAACATCTGATGAGTTACTTTAAAACTAAAAGTATGTATTACTGACATTCCCTTTAAAAACAAAACCAAAGCCAGCACCTTCTCCTTAAAAAAAAAAGACATGACAGTTTCTGAAGACAGGTCTTTATATTCTTTAACAACATTCATTATAAGCAGATAACTCCCTGACTAACTAACTGGGTTTATCAACTCTGATATCAGGACTATGAAACTGGGCATAGGATTTACATTATATTAAATCACAGACCGTGGAAACCCAGAGATATTTTTATACCTCTTCTATATAACAAAAGAAGCATAAGCAGTTGCTATGCTTCAAAATTAGAGATCTTACACAAAAAAATCTAGACTTGAAACTTTTTTCCCCGCTTGGTTTTTAAAGACAGGATTTCTCTGTGTAGCCTTAGCTGTCCTGGAACTCACTATATAGACCAGGCTGGCCTCGAACTTACAGAGATCCTCCTGGCTCTGCCTCCCAAGTGCTAGGATTAAAGGTATGTGCCTCAACTGCTCCACTAATTTCCGACTATCCAGGCAGCGTATACACACATGAACAAGTAGTGGAGCAGAGGTGGCTGTCCCTCTGGGAATGTCATGCCCTCCTCAGGTTAACAGACCAAGAGGCATCCAGGTAACATCTAGATTTCTACTGGTCATCACATTTCAACTGTCTCTTCTTACAGTAGAGAGGGCTGTGTAGCATGGTCTACATCCAGTCCAGCTCCCTGGTTTATACTGTCTTGATGTCTTTAGTACCTGTGTGGGTTGCTATACATGGATACAGTAACTATGTTGTACAGTTAAAGAATCCTCAGTGTAAGTCGGTTTCCTTAAAGTGGACCAATAGCAAATTAAGGCAACCACATTTACATTTTTGTATGGTGTTTAAAAAATATGAAATTGGGAGTTGAAGAGATGGTTCAGTGGTTAAGAGCACTGGCTGCTCTTCTAGAGAACCTGGGTTCAATCCCCAGCAACCACATGGTGGCTCAGAACTGTCTGTAATTCCAGCTCCCTCACACCCATGCATATAAAATGAAATTAAATAAGTTATTTTTAAAAAGAATATAAAATTGTATTCAGAATAGGATGGTACAATGATACTTACTCATAAATAGTTTTAGCATCTTCAGCACTCTTGTCTTTAAAATCAAGCAGCTCCTGAAGGCTTTGGATATACCTGAAACACAAACCAGAGACCTGAGTTTATTCATGTTGTAAAATTAGCACAAAGGGTGTTTTTGATATTTTATAATTTTAAATGTAGAATACGCCTACAAATTATAATTTAAGTGGGATTGTTTTCTTATATTTCAGACAGGGTCTCATGCAAGCCAGGCATACCACCAAGGCCAGCTTCAAGCAGTTCTAGGGATCAAGTCTGGGCTTTGTGCACACTGAGCAAGTGCTCTATTAGCTGAGCTGCATACTGGTCCTCAAATAGGAATTTTACACCCACTAGCATTTGAGTGAAGTTCTAGGCACATCATAGAAGTATCTATGTTCAGGATGAAGAGATGGCACATTGGTTAAAAGCACCTTCTGCTCTTCTAGACAACACAAGTTCAGTTCCCAGCACTTACAGAGGACAGTTTGCAATCAATGACTCTAGCTCCAGGGGACCCAATACACTCTTCTGGTCTCTGTGAGCAGCCACACACATTGCATACAATCATGTAGACATAATTAAACAGATGGACACACACACACACACACACACACACACACACACGCACCTACTTTAAAGAGGATGGATGGAGTTTCGGGGGAAAACACTCCATGAAGCCTAGCCAGGCCTTGCTGCACTCAAAAGTCAGTGATTCTCACGGCCACCACCCTGCTTTAGCCCTGAAATTTATCTTCACTGGCAAGAAAAAGTAGTCTTTAGGGGATATTTAAATTCCTACCCCTTGTAAGACAAGACCAGATTTCAAAAAGCAGGATGAGCTAGTTCAAATGAAGAATTGTAAGGAATGGAAGATTATATTCTCTGCTATGAATCCCATGATACTTTCTAGACCACTTTCCTCATGTAACTACATTTGCAGCGGCTCCATACATGAACTAACTAGCCTCTGGGGACCAATATTCGGCAGTCATTCTTTTACTCCTTAATATTTTCTTTTAATTTCTGTGTGTGTGTTCCCTCAGAGGTCAGAAGAGCATGACAAATCCCCTGGAGCTGGAGTTACAGGCAGCTATGAGTAGCCTAACCTTGGTCCTCTGGAAGAGCAGTGAACACTCTTAACCACTGAGCCAACTTTCTAGGCCCTTGTTTGTCTTCTTTTTTATCATGACTTATTTTTAATTACATGTATTTGTGTGTTGGGAGCACGTGCACATGTGAGTACCGGGGTCCTCGGACTCCAGGTATTGGATCCCTTGCAACTGGAGTTACAGGTGCTGGAAACAGAACAGGGTTCCTCTGCAACAGTGCTAAGTAAGCACTCTTAACTTCCGAGCTGTATCTCTCTAGCCCCCTTGTTTTTAAATAAATGTTTGATCAGCTTATCTCACAAACTATAATACCTACGAAGAGAAAACTAGCATCTCCATTAATCATAATCAGAAATATTCTGTAGTTACATTTTTTTCCACTTCATACTTGACCCTGGCCATGCATACAAACAAAACTTTTGTTTAAAGCTTTTCCTCCACCTAAAACAAAACAAAACAAGCCGGGCAGTGGTGGCGCACACCTTTAATCCCAGCACTTGGGAGACAGAGGCAGGTGGATTTCTGAGTTCGAGGCCAGCCTGGTCTACAGAGTGAGTTCCAGGACAGCCAGGGCTACACAGAGAAACCCTGTCTTGAAAAACCCAAAACAAAACAAAGCTTTTCTCCCCCTTGGCATGCTGGCTCACACTGTTCATTCCTGCACTAGGGAAGCAGAAGGTGGATCTCTGTGAGTTCAAGGTCAGCCTGGTCTGCAGTGTGAGTTCTAGCCTAGCCAGGAATACACAATGAGCCCGTTTCAAAAAACAGAAAAAAGCAGCTTTTATCTGGACACAGTAACTGGACATGGTAGCACATTCCTGTAATACCAGTTCCAAGGAGGTAGAGGCAAGAGAATCTCTGCAAGTTTCATGTCAGCTTAGTCTGTATACTGAGCCCCAGGCCTGCACAAGACAATGTCTCAAACTAGAAAAGACTGAGTACCAGAAAGATGGCTCAGTGGGTAAAGGCATCAGTCCTCCAGCCTACTAACAAAGTTTGATCCCTGGGACCATATGGTGGAACGAGAGAGCTGACTCTTGCAAGCTGTTCTCCAACCACCACCAGAATCCGAGCACATGGTACTCTCTCACACATACATACACATAAAAAAAATTGTAAAATGTAATTTAAAACAACATTAGTTAACACTTTTAAATTAACAAGCAGGCTGTGGTGGCACATGCCTATAATCCCAGCACTAGGGAGGTAAAGGCAGGAAGACAGTCTCAAAATAAACAAATATTAGAAATATAAAGGATTTGGACAGGCGGTCACATAAAAATATACACTTAAAACTGCTCAGTGGCTAAAGGAATTCTCTGCTCTTCCAGAGGACCTGAGATCAGTTTTCAGCAACCCTAAGTCAGCTCACAACCATCTGTAACTGAAGGTTCAGGGGATCTGATGCCTCCATCTGGCCTCCACAGGCACCAGACACACCTTTGGTGCACAGATACATAACCAGGCAAAACAGCTATACACATAAAAAACTTTTTAAAATATAAAAACCTTATTATTTTGGCAAAATTGCAGTTTCTGTGTAATTACAATAACTTCTATTTTTAAAAGGGAAACATTGATCAATACAGGACATATGTTCACACTATACCACCCCATCACACCAAACTTGTTAATACAGATGTTACTAAAAAACTGATCAATGCAGAACTGTGTGCACACTACATTATCACACTGAACTTATTAATACAGATGCTACTAAAAAGCAGAAGAAAGTTGTAACTTTTGTGATCTTTTTATTGTTTGCAACAGGATCTCACATAGATGAGTCTGGCCTAGAACTTGCTATGTAACTAAGCACGACCTTAAACTTCTGATTCTTCTGCCGCCACTTCCCAAGGGTGCTGGGATGGCAGGTGTATACCACTTCCTGTGGTTTATGCAGTGCTAGAGGTTGAAACCAGGACCTAGTGTATGCCAGCAACCACTCTACCACACTACATCTTCATCCCCTAGTCTGTAATTTAGAAAAAGATGCACTTCACCAAAATAAACTCACTTTATAATAAGGTACATGCAGCCCTGGATACATGCTATCACTCTGAGATACCATGGTATAACAGAGACAGACACATACAGGATTGAAACCCAGGGCTCCAGTGTCTGTGCTCACACCTGGACAAAAACTGTATCATGTCTTAGCTTCCTCACTAGTAAAAGGAGTTAATAACACCTATCAGGCATGGTTGAAAATAAATAAATAAAAAGAAATGTGTATATAAGTATAGCCAACAGCCGGGCAGTGGTGGCGCACGCCTTTAATCCCAGCACTTGGGAGGCAGAGGCAGGCGGATTTCTGAGTTCAAGACCAGCCTGGTCTACAGAGTGAGTTCCAGGACAGCCAGGGCTACACAGAGAAACCCTGTCTCGAAAAAAACAAACAAACAAACAAACAAAAACCAAACAAACAAACAAATATATATAGCCAGCAAATAGTAGCCAACAAATAGTAGCTACTTTTCTCAGTAGAATATAACACTCTTGCAGATACAGTAACATAAATCTTAAATTTAGCATCAGTACTTCTGTGCAGGCCCAATGTGCTCTCTTAAAACCAAGAGACTTTAATGAAATACAGTGTTTCGAAGACAGGATAGACACAGAGCAGAGGAATGCTTCAACTGCTTTCAGAGTCTACTGAAGAGTATATGCAGGACAAGAGAGGTGGTCCAATAGTTAAGGACACATGCTACTCTCAAGGAGGACTCAGACTGGATTCCCACCACCTACATCAGGCAGCACACAACTGCCCATAACTCTAGTTCCAAGGGAGCTTGTGTCCTCATCTGGCCTCTATAGACACCTGCACATGTGTGGTATGTCTATTCTTAGGCACACACCTTTAATCTCAGCACTAGGGAGAAAAAAGTCTAGCAGACCTCTTTGAGTTTGAGATCAGCCTAGTCTACAGAAAGTTCTAGGCCAGCCAGAGATACATAGTGAGACCCTATCTCAAATAAGTCAATCAATCATAATACTTGGAAAACAGAGACAGAAATAAGTGGACATCACGGTACATAGTGAGTTCCAAGCCAGCCAGAGTTACATAGTGAGACCCTGTCTCAAAAACCAAATAAATAAAATATGTAAAAGTATTTTCTTTAACCTTGGACAAAATCCACATGTCCACTGAAATTGTAAACACAAGATGGGACTCTTGCTGAGCAGTGGTGGTGTCTGACTTTAATCCCAGCACTCCCAAGGCAGAGGCAGGTAGATCTTTGAGTTTGAGGTCAGCCTGTTCTATAAGAGTAAGTTCCAGGACAGCCAGGGATACACAGAGAAACCCTATTTCCGAAAACAAAACAAAAAAAAAAAACAGAGCGAAACAAAAAAGATGGGCTCTTACCAACTTTGTACCAGCTGTACAGATGGGGTCCTGAGAAGATTATCGGGAAGGAGGCTTATTTCTTTCATTATATTTGCCAATCTAACAGGCAGCTCTTGTCGCAGAAACATAAATGAGGTCTTTTCACAGGCATTTACTGATCCTGAAACCAAGCACAGTGAAAGGCAGTAAGTAGAAGGCACAAGGTATCAGGAGTTTGAAAATGAGGGAGTCACTTGGGAAGGCCATAACGGTAGATTTACCATAGAGAGGAAGGGACTAAGAAACAAAAATATATCCAGGCACAGTTGAGCTAACTGGTCTATAAAGCTACCCTGATTCCAGAATGACCTTCCAACTCCAGAAATTCCAACAGCTCAGTACAACCATGTAGGTACTTTGTTATACTTCACGATTACTATCCATCCTAGAATTCGGGTAAGCTGAATTTGTCTGCATAAGGCCAGGGCCTGTGAAGAGAACTGGGAAAAGCCCCTTCTATATGCCCCACTGCTGCCTTTAGAAATTCTGATTCCTGCTGGGAAATAGTGGCACATGTCTTTAATTCACTTTTAAAGCACTTGGGAGGCAGAAGCAGGTGGATCTCTGTGAGTTCAAAGCCAGCAGGAGTGAGTTCCAGGACAGCCAAAGCTACACACAGAAAAACCTAGTCTCCATAAGAGAGAGAGAGCGAGAGAGAGAGAGAGAGAGAGAGAGAGGGGGAGGGAGGGGGGGAGGGAGGGAGGGAGGAAGAGAAGAGAAGAGAAGAGAAGAGAAGAGAAGAGAAGAGAAGAGAAGAGAGAAACTCTGACTCATGACTTTTGAGTAAATTCTGACCCAAGTCATTGATTCGATACAAATACTAACCACCAGAACAGAGTCAGTCACAGAGGTTTTCAGGCAACAGAAGGACAAGACCATCAACACCATGTCACCAACCATCAAGTGGAACCTACTCAGTTGTCGGAATACTGGGAAAATCACCTGCCCCTTCCCCCAGATGTTCGGCAGAACAGCTGATAAGTATTCATCCGTTGGCAAGCAGCTTCACTTGAACTAAAAAGTCACATTTCAGCACTCCATTTGAAACTAATTCAACCTTGCAGATGGAACCTTAGCAGTAACTATCTTGTCAACAGTAGCAGTATAATGGAAAGCATCTTGTCAAAGTTTAATGGAGTATTCATGAACAAGGTGAACATTCCTACACCACAGTACAGGCATTTACTAATAAAAGCAAAACACTCACACACAAACGGGAGCCTTTCATATTCCCTTAGTAAATAAATACAAGGAAAAGCACCTGTCACTGCAAACCACAATTTTAAGATAAAGTAATCTCTACTAATCTACACCACTAATCTCTCATGCTCGATAACCATGTTATAACCTGACAGCACGGCACAAAAGATAACTTTTTCTACTCCAGAACTTTTCGGAGTTCAATGTTAAGAGTTTATATTAAGCATTTTCCTTTCTCCCTCATTACTTCTGATGAGAAGTCAAAAGTCAAAGGCCTAATTCTGCAGTTCTGCAATCTGTTACACACAGACAAGACCATGCACTTTACTCGTGCTTGAGACTGACTGCTGTTGAAACGAATTTGCTCTCGGTGGAAACACTGGAGAGAAAAGCACTGGGCCAGTAGGAACTTGTTTTCCTGCCATCACGCCACTCCAAACGATCATCGCTGTGCTGGCACTGATCTCGCCTCTGCAGAACGCCACCCTCGAAGCAATGTGAGCTCTGGCCTTGAACCCCAGCAAGGCTTCCCCGAAGACACCGGGTCCCCAAGCGCGCACCTAGGCACGTGCGCGGAAGGCTGCAGCCCGCGGGGCCCCTGCTTTGTTATTCTGCACACCATAGTCGCACGCCCTTGTTATGTGCCCGGCCTGCCAGCGCCCGCACCCTCCGGGGAGGAAGGAAGCACCTAAGACGCAGGGGAGGCGACACGAGGGAGGAGGGGTGCGCCTGGTAGGACGGGGCCCGCGCACGAAGGCCCGACGACCCGGCGGCCGCCCTCACCGAAGTCCAGGAACTGCTTCATGGAGAGTGGCGACGGCGAGAAGCGCGCATAGAAGTCCACCTGGCCCGGAACGCCGCTCTCCGGCGCCGGCCGGGAGCCCGAGGCCGAGTCCGAGGCCAGGCTACGGCTGGCACAGGGGACGGCGCAGAGCGGCCTGACGCTCGTGCCGCCCCGCAGCAGCCTTGCCAACCTCATACCGAGCCCCGCCGGAGGAGCCGGAGCTCCCGGCGCCAACCTGCCGCTCTATGCCGCTGCCTGGGCGCTACGTGCGGGACGTGGCGGGCCGCGGGGGCGGGGAGCTGCTGTCAGCGCCGAGACCACCGCCTCCTCGCTGGAGCCACGCCCCCACAGGCGGAGCCCCGAGGAAGCGGAGGCGGGCGAGAAGGGAGCTCTAGCCACCGCCCCTTGCGAAAGACACGCCCGTGTGGGCGGAGCCCCGGGAGGACAGAGGCGGAGAAAGAAAAGGGGAACGCTTCTCCGCCTTGTCGGGTGGGGCCGCTGAAACCACCCGGAGCAAGTGGCCTGGATCCTGGCACTTTGGGAGATAGGGCGCTGGGAAGCTTTGCTAATTTTCTGGGAGCCCGGCTCGTACAGTCCTGCTCAAGCTGTCTTGCACCCCTTCGCATCCCGTCTTTCGTACTTCCTCGCAGTCTCAGCTGAAAAGCGCTAAGCTGTTCGGGGTCAGTGAGCCTGTCTTCGAAACGCCCTTGGGTCGTGTAAACCCATGATTTACAGGTGCAGCCAAAGAGTGGTACAAGAGTTGAACTTGGGGATGTGGCTCTAAAGAATACCACAGCTTCGACAGTCCCCGGAAGAGCGCGTTGAAGCACTTTCTGCAAGCAATATTGCCACAGTAGTTAAAGACTCTTCATTCTGTCTTTCTGTTAATTCATTATCTTAGAGTCACAAAGTGCCTGCTCCGTCTTTTCAATGTATAGAAATAGTGAATGTAGGATTAGAGTATACTTAATAATATCTAATCCCACGAAATCATGTCTGTCTTCTGAACACTGTAACGCCCACATCCAGCTACCCTAACACTTGCTGCGTCTTAGGTGCAAGAAAACTATCCTACCACGTGTGTGAAGTTTTATCAGTTGTATAAAGTACATATAGAATAATAGCACTTCATACCTCCACCTGGTCACTTTTGGATTTTGTAAAAACATGAATTATGAAGGCTGGGATGTAGCTCATGTCCAAAGCCCTGGGTTTCATCCCCAGCACAAGGAAGGGAAAAACAAAAACAACCCTCCCCAAACCTGAAACATTGTGTTGGCCCAAGCTTATAATCTCAGCGATCTGCAAGTGAAGGTGGCAGTATAGGAGTCAGAAGTTTAAATGTCATCCTTCGAAATCATGCCAGCCTGTAATTCATAGACTCCTATCGCAAAACAAAGAAACAAATACCTGCCCACCCCAACCCACACCCCCACCCAGACAGAAAAACAGAAATTAGATCAGAGTCCCTTTAAAGTAAGCTGTTATTCTGTATCCAACAAACTGTGTGTAGCACAAAGCGGGGATATTGTCCACCTGGAAACAAAAGCAGATGATTTTGACAAAGAAAAATAGTTTTTCCTCAAGTATCCAGTAGAAATTGTGGTCTCCTCTTGGGGTTCTTAGTCTCATTTATAAAAGAATTTAAGAATAGACTAAAGTAGAAGCTCAAGGATAATTGTATTAAAGTTTAAAAGAAAAAACTCCAAAGTAGACAACCTGTGCATGTCAGCAGCTGCCTGGAGGAGGAGAATGGCGTAGAGAAAGAAAACAAAACAAACAAACGAAAAAACCCACGTTGTTCCAGTTACTGGCATGGAGGTCAAATGGAGGTCAGCCACGGCATGGGAAGGGGAACCTTAGAGAAAAGGATAAGGTAGCCCAAAGTATCAGAAAAAGCATACTTAGGTTTTAGTCAGCATCAAAGAGGATGAAGGGAAGGAGGAAAAAAGGAAAATTTGTGCCTTTCTGACTCCAACCCAGTACCTCATGGTGGTTTGTAGGGACATTGTTGGGGAAGGAAGGGTTCTGGAAAGGAAATGTACAGTATCTCATTAAAGGAAAAAAATATTGCTTCTATCTCTTTAGTATAGCACAAGGTGAATCTGCTTTCCTAGGAGTCCTTGGGCAGCTGGTTGACACTGCCCAACTGCAACGTTAGGTCTCCACCCAGGCCAGAGCAGGGTCTATCTCCTTGACCAAATGTTTCTTTCTTTCTTTCTTTTTTCTTTTTCGAGACAGGGTTTCTCTATATAGCCCTGGCTGTCCTGGAACTCACTCTGTAGACCAGGCTGGCCTCAGAAATCCATCTGCCTCCCAAGTGCTGGGATTAAAGGCGTGCACCACCACCGCCTGGCTAGGTTTTTTTTTTCTTAATGGGTCTTTACAGCTACTCTAACATTAAGTCCTCTGTTGGATCAGACCCTGTAACGAGAGGTGAACAAGATGCTCATTTCATATATTTGTGGCGTATAGCTGGGAAATGATAATTTTCAAAAAGTGCCCTTGAATCCCAGCATATAATATCTCCAACACAGTACAGTGAAATGACTGTTTAGAGAAATGACAAGTCATTATACATTGAAATAGCCTTAACAAAACAACCGATTTTTATAGCTGTTTTTCTGTCTTACTGCTTTTCTTCAGTGGCCTGGAGCTCAAACGAATACATCTGCCAAAGGAAGCATATTTGGGACAGTAAATTCAGGTATCCTACCACACCATACTGTCTAATGCTATAGAGCTTGTTGTTTGAAAGGATTAAGTTTGTTCTGGATGACTCCAAAAGCAGTTACAAACTACAGAGTAACAGACATGACTTAACATGGAAAACTGTTGTTGGTTATACAACCATTTCACTGAGATGGGCATCATGGAGGGAGGGGCTCTTGTCAGTGACCCTTAGCTAAGAGTCTAGAAAACAGCCCTATAAAGATGGTCCTAGGGAGGCTGTGGGAAAATAGTGTAGTGTAATGAAAAGAGCCTGGGTTCCGCTTAATGTTTTGACTGTGCTGTGTTCACCATATGACTTTCCTTGTGTGACTGTCTTAATCTCTCTAAGTGTGATTGTTGTATATGCTCAGCCCAGGGGGGAGGGGTACTATTAGAAGGTGTGGCCCTGTTGGAGTAGGTGTGGCCTTGTTGGAATAGGTGTGTCACTGTAGGTGTGGGCTTTAAGACTGACTCACATGCTAGCTGCCTGAAAGCCAATCTTCTCTTGTCTACCTTCAGATGAAGATTTAGAACTCTCAGCTCTTCCTGCACCATGTCTGCCATGTTCCCGCCTTGATGATAATGGACTGAACCTCTGAACCTGTAAGCCAGCCCCATATAAACGTTGTCCTTTATAAGACTTGCATTGGTCATGGTGTCTGTTCACAGCAGTAAAACCCTAACTAAAACACTAAGTATCAATATAGTACTAGAAAAGTACAACAAATGCCTTAATAAGTTATTGTTAGCATAAATAGTATAGCTATATATGTTTATACAATGCTCAGACCTTACTAAAGAGCTGATAGAAGGCATCTCATTAGAACTTTATAAGAACTATTCATATAGATGGTGTGCCAGAGGCTCAGTAGAAAATAATTTAAAGTTGAATATTAAGTATCATTCAGATGGCCTCCAAAAGATTTTTTATGTTATTATGTATATAAGTGTTTTGCCTGTATCTATGTATGTGTACAATGTGTGTGCCTATGGGTGTCAGATGAGGACGTCAAACCTTCCAGAACGGACATTCTGGATCACCATGAACCAGCATGTTGGTGCTTGGACCAAGCCTGGTAGGTCACTACAAGAACAACTCTACACCACTGAGCCTTCTCTCCAGCTTCTCTCATCCATTTCTATTATTAATTTTTTTTTAAAGACAGGATCTCACTATATATCTATGGCCAGCCTGGAACTCACTATGTAGCCCAGGCTGACCTCAAATTCAAGAACTCTGCCTGTTTCTGCCTCCCAAGTGCTTGGCTAAAGGTATGTGCCACCATGGCTGGCCACTTCCACTACTCTAACTTCAGCCTCTCCTGCTGCCTTCTTTCTTCTTCTTCTTCTTCTTCTTCTTCTTCTTCTTCTTCTTCTTCTTCTTCTTCTTCTTCTTCTTCTTTCTAGATCATTCCTTGAGCTCCAGATCTTTCTGCTAGATCGGACACAGCATTGTTCATCTCCCTCCACCTGTCAGTAGTAGTGGGGCCTGGACTGGTGGTGTTGTCAATGCTAATAATAACTCTATTAGTTGTTAAGATGACCTGGCCAGCCCCCCCCCATAATCAAAACAAAGTCCTATTGGTTTATTTAATCAGCTTTAGTACAATTCCTGGGCAATTATCCCTAATCTATTTTTCTAGGCTTGACTGGTTACTTCCCAGCTGTACTCCTCAAGTTACTTGCTGTTTGAGTTTCAGCTGGGCTGCAGTTTGTTCTCAGGATACACTTCTCTCCCTCGACCAAGTACTCCTGTTCTAATGGAGACCTTCCACTCTGTCTTCTTTTTCCTTCTTTCTCTCATTCTCTCTCTACCTGCAACTCCCAGCTCAGTAACTGAAACACTGCCTACCTCTCTATTATTTCCAGTAATTGGTTATAGCCCCTTTTACTTAACCAATAGCTTTAAATTGGGGAGCAAGGTTTACACAACCAAGGCTTGTGTACACGTGAATTAACTCATCTGGGAGCAACCAGATCTTGGGGTTCAGAATTTAGCATTTGTATTACACAGCACTAGGCCAACCCACAACAGCCTGGACAGTTTTTAACCCATCTTACCATCTCATCAGCCCCGTCACCTGTTTTATGAAGTACTGTTTCTCTTCTCCCACGCATGTTCTTTAAGCTTCCACCAGACGTACAGAGAATGAGCATGTAAGATCATACATAGTCTGTCAAATGTTCTCTCCTTCCTTCTCCCTGTCCTCTCTCATCTTACATTTTTGCTTCTAACTGAAGAAGCTGTCCTGGTGCTGAAGAGGACATTTAAAAAGAGCTGTGTTACTCATCTGTGTGGGATGTTTTATATAATCCTTTTTAAAAATTCTGTTTGTTTATTTATTTATTTATTTATTTAGAGACAGGATCTCACTATGCATGATCTCCGGCTAGCTTCAAACTCAAAAGATTCACCTGCCTTTGTCTTCTGAATGCTGAGCTTAAAGGCATGAGCCAGGATGTCCTGGTCCATACTCATAATCCCTCTCCCCTTAATTTAGCAGACTTGAGCCAGACTCTTAAATTCACCAAGAATTTATGATCCATGAAGGACGGGTTTAGCAGAAAAGCTTGGGAGAA